AAGTTTGAACTAGCGGTTTGCCTGTGTCAAGTTTCACAGTGATCCAACATTAACATACGCATCTATCACAAGTTAAGGCTGTGCCAAAATCCAGAATGGCATTTTATGAAGTTGGCTCTAAAAATAATTTTGGGGATGATAGCACTAGCATATGCTGTGTGGCTTCCATGTTTATCAGACTTTAAAACAATAATTTTTGCTTTCTTTAAGCTAAAAATGTAGGTTAACCAAATTAAAAAACCTTTTGCACTTGACAAATAAATTCTTACATTTAAAAATACACATAAGTGGCTAATAATGTGTCCAATAAGGTAGAGATAGTGGCCAGACATGGGAATATTTGGCCTGCCTGCTACTTCTATATAAAAAGCACTTCTGTTCACACACACTGCTACAGATCTCTATCTGCTCCAATATGGCGTATCGTCCACCCTTAGATATATGTGTGCGAAGCTGCAATCAGAGCCTTATGCTTCCTCAGTTCTCCGACTTGATGCAGCAACACTTTATATGCACTCTCTCCATCTAACAAATGAGAAAGTCTTCCTATATGTACAGTATGATGGGGACTAATTTGGCTATGACAAATCAGGAAAGAGATCTTGGAGTCATCGTGGATAGTTCTCTGAAAACTTCCACACAGTGTGCAGTGGTGGTCAAAAAGGCAAATAGGATGCTAGGAATTATTAAGAAAGGGATAGAAAATAAGACACAGAATATCTTTACTGCCCCTGTATAACACCATGGTATGCCCACATATTGAATACTGTGTACAGATGTGGTCTCCTTACCTCAAAAATTACCTTAGAATTAGAGGACACCAAATGAAATGAATGGGTAGCAGGTTTAAAACTAATAAAAGAAAGTTCTTCTTCACAAAGCAAATAGTCAACCTGTGGAACTCCTTGCCAGAGGAGACTGTGAAGGCTAGGACTATAACAGAGTTTAAAGAGAAGCTAGATAATTTCATGGAGGTTAAGTCCATAAAAGACTATTAGCCAGGGGATAGAAATGGTGTCCCTGGCCTCTGTTTGTCAGAGGCTGTAGAGGGATGGCAGGAGACAAATCGCTTGATCATTGTCTTCGGTCCACCTTCTCTGGGGTACCTGGTACTGGCCACTGTCAGCAGACAGGCTACTGGGCTAGATGGACCTTTGGTCTGACCCAGTACGGCTGTTCTTATGTTCTTATGTTATGTTATGCTGCCATTGCAGCCTTCATGGTTTCTCTTCCACGCCAATGGAAAGTCTGAGCTTGCTAAGGAGGAAATAGAAGAGAACTTGGGATAACATGTTCAATAAAATACTGCAAGCCAGTGCTGCATTGGACCATGAGCACAGGGCCTTGAGGATGAACAAGAGTGGTGTGGGGCCCAGGATTCCTGTCAGGAAAAGGAGAGTGAAATACACTAGGACTGAATGGGGATTCTTGGAAAGCAAACACAGGTGATATGTGGTGGACATGCAGATTATTGTACATTGTCATACAACCTATAGGTTCATTCACAAACAAAATTAATAAGTGAATTGTCAATGTTCTATTTGCATAGGTAATCATCAAACAATTACTTCCAGACCACAAAAGACTGGGGCCCAGTAGAGCGCACTTCAATAACAGCCTCTTTTCTAACTCACTGTTAAAATGGTCTGTCAGATCATTGAGCTCTTGCATCTGGCTGTTCAAATATGTCAGATAGCTGCTCCACTCCACTCTTGGGGAAACTTTCCCTCCTGTGCTTCCTACATATTATACACATACAGGACACAGCAGATATTTGTGGACATCAATGAGAAAAGTATCCTGTCCTTGTGAGTAAACACTGCCAGAGTCCCTTCAAATGAGTTCCATCTATTCCCCCCCACCCCTCCTCACAGTTAGGGAACCCCGTCGTGGCAAAACCATCCACCATGGTATCCACATTTCCCAGAGTCACAACCCTCCATAGCAAAATGGTATTGATCGTCTTGCCTACTTGCATGACGACAGTCCCCACTCCAAATTGATTCCTTACTGAACGGTAGCTGTTTGGCATTTCAAGCTTCTACAGTGCTATTGCCACATGCTTTACCAAGGTCAAAGCGGGTCTCATTCTGATATTCTTGCACTTAAAGTCGGGGAAAGCCATTCTGAAAGTTCCAAGAAAGTGGCCTTGCACATTTGGAAGTTTTGCAGCTACTGCTGGTCATCCTGTATCTGCATAAAAAATGTGGTCCCACCAGTCTGTGCTTCTCTCACGGCACCAGAATTGGTGTTCCACCATGTCCACAGGATTGAGTGGTGGCTGTGTTTGCATCAGCAGAAGGGTTTGCATGAACAGCAACTCCATGGGATCCTGAGATTCATCCCCATCTTCTTCCTGGCGGAGTGACATGTGTACGCTCTCAAAATACTGTGCCATTAGGCACACCATGTCAGACGTCAACATCACAATGGTTTGATGCAAAACGGGATCCATGCTCATGCTGTTATGACATCTGTGTGGGCAACCAGATGCCATAACAAGGCCAAAAAGGATGCAAAAAGACTGTCTCCTATTGATCCCAAGCAAGGGGGAAGGGACTAGATGAGCATATTATGGGATGCTGACCACTTGAATCCATAACCACCTGCACAGTTTTGGTCCCAAAATGCACTGGGAGCATAACTCAGAATGTAAACCAGCACATAACTCAGAATGTAAACCAGCACTATTGGATAACTACTCGCATCACTCTCAAAGTCAACAGCAGGCTCCCTAATAGGGGATGTGCTACTTTGGACTACATCAAATTCTTCCCTACAGAGGAGACATGGAGCTTCAACTTTGCAAAATCAGGTTATCAGAAGTCAACCATAAAAAATTCAACCTTATCTCATAGCGTAGACATGGCCTGAGATTCATCCCTAGAAAAGTTCTCAAGAGGTGCTCAGGATTAGAGCTCCCTTCCTGCAGATCTTAGAAAATCTGCAGAATCATTGGCAAATGTTCGATACCCAATGCTTTTTCTTCCCATCTGATGTTGTGACAGCGCGTCGGGGTTCTCCCTGATCCTGCATCCCCGTAGCAGCCAGAACAGACTCCACCAGCCAGTAGAATAGAGAGGGTTTATTGCTTCTCCAGGATACAGCACAGCACAGCCGTGATGTGGTTACAGGAGTCAGGGCCAGGGTGCCTCAGACCCCTTGGGTTAGGGGATCCATCACCCCCTCAACCCTCAGCTTAGACTGTTCATGTTTCCCAGCCAGAAACTGTCTCGCTCCCCCAGATCCTACCCCCCAGCCAACTGGCCATCTCCACCTCTCTTCCTTTGTCTCTCCCTTTGGGAAGATACTTGTTATCTGCTCAAGCTGGGACTAGGTATCTGGACCAATACACATGTGAGTGAGACAGTAGGAATCACACATCATGGCACAGGGGAACCCCGGATTACAGAGGAGATAGAACCCCCACTACATCACAGATGTTACTTTAGTTTTTGAAATAATTGTAATTACCTAACAAAACATAATGTAGATATCAAATTATGGTAGACACACATATGTAAAAATTTTTACATGAAAACTTTTAGCAAAATTAAGCTATTACAATGCTAAACATTTGGAATAGTAAAGGAAGTTTATCTTTGACTTTCTGCTTTCTCACGTGTTTGTATTTAAATTTAACATCTACTGTGAATTTCCTTTTTAAAAGGTGGGGTTTTGCCAACAATATCCTTTCAACCATAAGTTACCGAAATATTTTGTCAGCTTTAACTTCATTTTAACTTTTTTATTAACTCCTGGGAATTAATTAATATTTGTAAGGTACTTTAAGATCCTCAGATATTTTTATGCAAGACAATATCAGTCAGGCTTCCCCATAAATAGGTTGATGAGTAAATCACAGCATTTGTGGTAAATGCAGATGTGAAAAAGAAAGGGGTGCGAAGTATCAATTCTATGTACAATTTTGCAATTATAAATGTTACACAAATTAGAAGTTTTATTAAACAAATGCAACAGTAACTTCAGAGTGCTTTGCAGTACCCTGTATGATTCTTACCTTTTTAGCTTCTTTAGACTTTCTAATATTGTGTGGAGGGCCAAACTTGTTGTGGGCGCAAAACACTTTCTTAGACCATTCATTTTTATGAGACGTTAATTGGGGCTGCCCAAAGCTGCCATCAACTCTATATCTGTCAGCTGGAATCTTATTCATCGGAGGGGGAAGAGTACCACAGTTAACACTTGACCAGCCATCTGTAGAATCTGTATAAGACTCCTGGTCACTGGCATTTCCATGTTGCCATTCTCGCAAGACATGAACAGGCAACCATCTCTGATTGCCTACGCCTATAGTACTTTTCTTGGATGGTGGCACTGAACTTCGAGAAGAAACTAGTGGAACTTCAATACGAGCTGAAGGACTTAAGTGCTTACTTTGTGATTTGTCATTCTGAATTACTTCTAAAGGAGTGCTTCCTTCTTGTTCATGACAGAAGCTATTCCACTGGGAAGTATGTTGATTCTGTCCCCTTACAACTGGATTTTCCCATATACTATTAGGTATATGTTTACTTGGATTGCCTCCTAAATCAACCACCAAAACTCTATTGCTTTTTTCTTCTTGGTTAAAATTTCCAATACCACTATCACTGTTACTACTCGTACTGTTATTCTGATGAGCATCTGCATCACCATCAAGGAAAGCTCTTGCTCGCATTCCCTCAATCAGCTCACCCATATCCCTATAGAGAACAGAAATAAATTGAAGAACAGGTAAAGATGACGTTGGAAATTCTAAACAGCCATTTGTGTCTGGATCTGCCGTACACTCTAGTCCAAAACGTCTTGCTATTCCTTGGTGAATTTTATGATGAAATAATTCTGGATCGACCATGAACACATGACAAGATGTCCTCAGAACCTCTTCATCTTCCTGAGCCAAACTTGCATCATCATTGGTCTGCATGGTAACTAGCCCAAAAAATCTTCTATCATCAGGGCACACAGCACTAAATGCCAGTTTCTCTGCAGGATACTCTGCCACTACACCAGACTTGTCACTGCAGAGCTGAATGCAGTCATGCATAATCTTCATCATTACCAATGAATGGATTTTCTGTTCTGCCCGAAGTCGTCTCATACATCCCCGAATAGCCTGCAAACTATCATTTTCCAAATTTGAGCTTGTTGAAGGAAGTTCAATAGAGCCGAGGTAACCTACCACCATAGCAACATTTAAAATACTTGCATCTAACGCAAAGTCTTCTGGATTTTCCGGTCCAATTTGAAAAACTGAATCATCATGTAACACTTTAGATATTTCTTCCTTTGAAAGTAAATTAGGGTTATTATTGATATGTTCATGTCCAATTTCAAATTTAATAGCAGCAGTCTCAGAAAGAGATCTTTGTTTTGGTACTGAATTATCCACATTACACGCACAAAAGCTAGGATTTTCAAAGAGCATGTTGAAAATTCCACCAGACTGCATTTCTTCAACAACCTTCTCTGCTCTATTTATACCCAAGACTTTAGAGTCAGGCTTTGGCTTCAACCACCCTTTCCCATCATAAAAACCAACTTCTTCATCACTAGAACATGAGTCAATATGACTTGTGCCTTCAGCAATGACCATGTGTAGGACTCCAGAACATTTTCCTATTAGTTTGACCACATCTTCATGAGAAGCTTTTTTAACATTAATTTCATTAATTGCAAATATTTGATCTCCTGCCCTAAGGCCCACATAATCTGCAGGACTTCCTTTCATGACACAGCTAAGAACACATGGAGCTTGTCCAGAAAGGGTGAACCCATAGCCAGCTCTTCCTCTTGCAACTTCCACACTTCTTATCCGAGGAGAAGCATGAATATTGAGTCGACGTTTCACTGTGTCCCCTGGTCTATACATTTTGCTTAATTTCTGGATCTGGAGTAGCCCTTGGTCAAATTCTTATTCATAGTTAATGTAAGTGATTTCCTGGTGTCCCAATTCCTTTATCTGCAGAAGCCCTAAAAATAAATGAATAAATAAATGTTGATTTAATACTTTATTTTTCCATTTTTGTTCTCAGTGCTTGGGGATACATTTATCAAAATTGCTATATATATAGCAAAATAATAAAATATAGGCACAGGCTGTAGCCAGACATAAACCCCATCTTGTTTTTCCACAAACCCCATCTTGTTCCCCCCCCACCCAGAGAGCAAGAGAAAGGCAGTCAGCCTTTGATGCCCTGGGAACGCAGGTGTGGTGCCTGTCCCTGACTCTACCATAAACAGAAACCAGACAGTAAATGGGCTAGCTGACGACCCGGGGCCTCCCGTCGCCCTGATGGCTAGTACCAGTAATTGACACGCCTGCACTGTCCCAGGAGAGGAATCTTCGCCCATCACATACCAGAGGTGCCCATTGTCTGCATTTTCCCAGGTGTAAATTATGCTTTGCACCCTTCGTGGGAAACTTGGTGTTCAAAGCCATTTTTCCTAATTGGCCACTTGAAACCAGGAAGAAGCCTACATGACCCAAGGGGTATAAAAAGAGGTTCAGCCGCCCACCCCATTTGAGCTCCAATCATCTATACCTGCTGGCAGGTATTGATTGTCTCCCGAGGTCTGTGGGACGCCCAACCTCGCCCTACTTCTTCCCGAGGGATTGAGAGAAAGACGCTGGCCACGCCAAGTCTGGAACGCAGGGGTGAGAATATATACCTGCTATGTGTCTATTTTGCATGCATTTAATAAGAGCTCAGAGAACCAAAGGGTTTCATGGTACCTGTAAGTGACTTATTAGTGTAATTTCTGTCCTGTCCTTTGTAGTGGCTGGGGTATCTGTTACACAGTAGTAGCATTTAACAACTAAGTTTACCCTGTAACAATAAAATAGTAACTGTTTAAGCTTTAACCTGACTCCTTCAGTTGCTGTAACAGAACCAAGCACAATTTAAAAAGAACTTCAGCCGGTCATAAGGGACTCACTGCCCTGACCGTCGGCTGACACCAACACACATTCAACAGTCATTCTGGACTTGCTAAACTGGGTTGTCAAGGTGGTTAGTATGAGCCAGGAAAGCAAGGGGTAGGCTTTATGTCGTAGGACTTCTGGATTAGTTCCTCGTACTGGAAACTCGGCCCTGAGGATGTGAATGCTCTTTAATGGAAAGGCTAACTGAGGCCCAGAACTACTTGTGACATTTTACTAGAAGATTTGCTTTCTACCTCATAGTTTAGAATTATTTCTAATCTTTTTACTTCTGTTTGTTTCCTCCTCCCTCAGTATGGTGGACTGAAGGTGATTTTTGGAACAGGAATGGATCCTCAGCTTCTTATCTCATGTCATGGAAAACTGTCAAATGTTGGTGTCAAAACAGTAGAAGTCTTTTTGATTCTCCCACTAAGGTTCAGAAATATCTGAAGTCTTAGGGATACATGGGAATATGTTGTCTGTGCTATGAAAACAACTACAAACTTTCAACCTAGCAGATATACTATAAATCAGTAGTACAGGGTGGATTAATATCTTTCGTAATGCATTTTCTGAAGATGTTGAAATATAAAAAAACAAAATTAAAAACAACAACAACATACCGGCATTGACAATAGCAACTGCTCCTCTTCCCCAAACCTTCACACTTTGAAGCAGAGTAGGTATATGGGTTCTCTAAGGGCACATCTACACAGCATAGCTAAAGCCAAAATAAGCTATTCAACTTCAGCTGCATCAATTGCATGTCGAAATAGCTTATTTTGGCTTTTGGCGCTGTCTATCTAGTAGGAAGTCTGAGGAAGAACATTCTTCCTCTGACTTCCCTTACTCCTTGTAAAATGAGGATTATAGAGTCAGCTTAAGAAGTCCTTCAGCTCGACATTCTTTCAACATCCAATCCTGCGGAAGATAGAAGCGAAAGATGGATTTCTGATTGATGGCGAGGTTCTTCAGATGCTCCTTTTCACAGATGACATTGTCCTAATTGCCTCGAAACCCACAACATTACAAACCCTCCTCCATGGCATTGGTAAGTATGTGAAGGAGATTGGCCTGGCCATCCATACTGGAAAAACAAAGTGGATGAAAAATGCCTATTGTCCAGAGCACATCATGCAGTGGGATGGACAGACTGTTGAGCTCGTAGATCAATATATATATTTTGGACAAACATTGCAGATGGACAATGAGTTGTGCTGGAGCTGAGCAGAAGAAGGAGGTCAGGTTGGATTGCCTTTGGGAGTCTGCATAATGTTTTTTGTCGATCCCAAACTTTCCACCACCATGAAAGCCCATCTCTTTTACCAGTATCCTTCTGGTAATGCAACATAGCTGTGAAACTTGGAACACAATGCTTATGGAAGAATTAACGCTGCAAATCACCCAAAGAGCAATGGAAAGACACACAGTGGGTGTTAAGTAGGCTACAATTTAATTTTGGAGATCTGCATGCAAGAAGCGGTATCAACAATATCATCCAAATTATGTATGATCAGAAAAGGAGATGGGCTGGCCTTGTAGCAAGACTGAGGGACAACAGATGGACAGCACATTTACTTCATTGGTATCCATGATACGTAAAAAGAACAAGAGGAAGGCCTCCAGCACATTGGGTGGATCCTTTACGGAAAATTCATGGAAGGACATGGACGAGAACTGCACATAACAGGACAGCATGGAAAAGTTGCAGTCTGCATTGATGGTGAGACTATTCTCATTGATAAAATCCCAGATCTTTCAAGTTAAGTCCAAGTATGTCAAAATTACTACTTGTTGTGTAGACGTGGACTAAGTTATTTCAGAATAATGTCAGTTATTACAAAATAACACTGCTGTATAGATATACCCGAAAAGATGTGACTGGTACTTGGCACTGGTGACAAGTGAAGCAGTGCAGTAATACCAATAAAGCTATGCCAATGCAACAGATCTGGTAAAGATGTTTTACGCAGTTGGGAGAAAACTCTTTTGTCCAAATAATAAAACCACCACCACAAATGGCAAAAGCTCTCTCACCAACATAGCACTGTGCTATGTTGATGTAACTTATGTCACTTGGGTGGTAGCATATTTGTATTCTTGACTGTCATAAATTCTGCTGACATCGGCTGCCCTGTAAACATAATCTTAGTCACTAAATTAAAACAATGCCTGCACTTCCCCCTCCCACACAGCAATCCCTGAGTAAATACATTAAAATGTGTAAGTGCTTCCAATTACAGGGGTTTCAAAAGAGGTGTGAATTGTGTCAGGCATTTAAATAATGGAAAAGTTATGTAGGTACATAAAGGCAATATTTGTCTCCATCACGAAGGGAGGAGGAAGCTTACACCTTAGCAGTTCTTGAAAGACTAAAATTAGGGCTTTCATTTAACAGCAAACTGTGTTATTTTGTAAAATACTTTCAAACCCAGTATTTCACAAAAGAAGTGCAAATGGGTCCTTCATCCTTTCAAAGAAAAACCAGAAACCATTGTGTAAGTTTTTTGAAGTGGAGCTCTCCATACACTTTGTTAGTATGTTTAAGAAGAGGTAACATTTAAACAAAAGTTTTGTGTAACAATGCCTGTAAGTATTGCCATCATCAGATCTATCCCATTAGTACTTTTTTAAATGACTCACAATTGATGATTTGGCTTATATTCATGTGTAAATAGTGAGAAGAAAAAACACATTGAACAATGAATGTTTAACAATACAACTGCCAGCCTCCACAGCAGAAACCCAATGCCAATCTGTTAGAACCATGTAATTGTCCTCAAATAATTGGCTTTAATAACTACAATATGACACATAGGAATAGATAACAAAATTCAGCTACAGCCAATCAAATGGAAACAAAACTTCTATGAATCCAAGTAGCTTCATGTATGTTCCCTAATGCACATTTAAAACAGGGGAGCAGAAAGGATGTGAAGGTCAAGTCACGTGTACTTTTACTCTGACTTCCTGCTATGCCTACCTAATGGTATCCCTTATTTCTTTTGCTCACTAGAAAGTGGACCAGTACTTCACTTGACAATTAATTCATTTTTCCCAGTGCCATTGGCACCAGGTTATGGTTTCATAAGGCAAACTAGAAGCAGATATGTAGTGTTTCCCAAAACAACAGTGGGCAGAAAATAAAGTCCCTTCTTCACACATCAAGAAAAATGTACCCCTTTTGGCTTACAGTCTCACTTGACCCCTGTGGTGGGCAAACTATTGTGATATAAATATCATCAAGGCGTTAGGGTGGCCATTGATGTACCTCAGAGGACTGTTGCATTTCATGGCTAATGATTTTTTTAAACTTTTACATTTTTGGTAGTCTCAAGATGTGATTTTATGAATTAGCAGTGCATTTAATTTAACTCACAATTCTACGAGCAACTAGTAATAATGTTTCTGTCCTTTTCTGGCATCATTCAGAAGTCTTTTGTTCCCCAGGAAGTAAAAGTACATATCTTTGCATTCTTCTGAAACATTAATGCAAGGCTGAAGCTCTGCTTTCATTCTGTTCACCTCCAGTCTGTTCCTCTTGTGTGATCATCATTGAAAAAAAACACAATCTGTGTGTGAGCATTTGCTGCATGATATTGAGAATACGTAGGAGCTGATCATCTTCATGTTGAAGGGTATCTGGGCTTTGCTGAAAACTTTCAGGTATCTCACCTCACTCATCTGGCAGTTTTTCATTTCTGGAGAGCATACAACACTTACCACAATGCTAAATTCTTTGTACAGTGTATTTATGTCAATCTCTTTAACATTGTAAACCTGGACTACATCACAAAATTCTTCAAAGGGCACAGCACTTGCAAGAACTAATTTGGACACTATGCTATGAAAGCTGTTTTCAGAGAAGTCACGTAAATATTTTTTGGTTCTTTTAGAACCAAAAATTTAGAAAGTCACTTTAACATTTATTTACCTCAACTTGTGTTAATTGCTTCAGTCTGTTGTTCTCAACAAACACAAAAAACTTGTTTCAAATTCTTCTCCCAAGTTTCTCATAGATTTCAGTCATTAGCTCAAATGACT